GCACAATCACGTGCCCGTCGGGTCGTCGTTACAGATGGAGACCGTAGAGGGGCGTTTTCTATGAAAGCAGGCGGATCGCGCTGGGAATTGTGGGAGGCCAGAAGACTCGTATAGGTTACGTCTCTCCTCGTCAGATGTGGCCAGCTGAGCTAGCGCGGGATTTCCACAACGAGCCCTATTCCATGCGACAACATTGATATTTCAGAGCTAGTGTCATATTCATTATTTGATTTGTATGGCCACCCATCTCAACTGTGTGAAATTATTGTAATTGATTTGTTATGAGCCGCCCAGAGTCATGATGAGTTGGGCAACATAGAAGTTTAATAAATAATAACCTCTCTGGAGAATTTACAACAATCTAAACATACAGTACAAAAAAGAATTCAGTCAAAATAAAATACACATCAACCAATACAAATGAAATTAACAAAAGCCACAGCCAGGGTTTAAAAATCCACATTCAACAGATCCACTAAGTGGGCTCTGCTTCTTCACGCCTAGTGTAACAATCATGTTGGCCTTATGGAATGCTATTAGGGTCATGACCAGTCTAATCTGGAAATTGAATGATGTTCATATAGGGCTTCTTAAAGGGTTCATATAAAATGGTGATCAATCATTGTGACCGCTTAATACAAACTCAGACTACCTCAATTAAGTGTATCCTTTTTGCAGATTTTGAAAGAGAATGGAATTGAAAATGGTTATTTTGGACTAGTTCCCTCAGAATTATCAAAAATAAAAGGGGGTAGGAGAAAATGAAAGAAAGGAAGGGGAGGGGGAGGGAGGAAGGAGGGAGTTGCTGCTCATTTGCTATCAATTGAGACAAAATAACATTGTTATAGCACAGAGGAATGATGCAACTGATTTAAAACGTGAAACATTTATGAATGAATACAAAGCCCCTAGAGATTTGCATAATGCGTTATACTAGTTAGTACTGATGGAGATTCTATATTTTATATTATACCAAGATAGTTGCTAGGATTGGTCAGGAATAGATAGACTCAGTTCCAACCAACTAATTCTCAGTATGTTAGCAAGGATTTCTCACACCAGAAGATGGCAAATCATTGCTTCTGTCTTTTTTACTAGACTCTGGGAAAACTCAAGAACCAACACTATAAATATAGAAAAACAGATTAACAGAGAGACCTTGGAAGAGATCATTTAGTCCAGGAATGTCAAACTGGCAGCCCATGGGTGGAATGCGTCAACTGCAGTCCATGCCCACCCTGGCTCTGCAAAGGCACAAAACATTGTGATATGTCACGAGACGCAATCGAGTTTGACATCTGTGAATTAGTCTCACCCTGCTTGAGCAGGAGACCCTATACAATTTCAGACAAATGGTTGTCCAGTCTCTTCCTAAAAGCCTCCAGTGTTGGGGCACCCACAACTTCTAAAGGCAAGCTGTTCCACTGGTGGTTCAAAAATATTCATAAACAAACAAACAAACAATAAAATAGGTTCTTATATAAATAAAATAGAATTTACATAAGCCTGAAGTCTGCTTATACTGGTAATACCAAAACATAATGGATTGCATAATTACTTATGCACAAGTCAGAATATTCTTGCTTTCTTTTCTAAACTAATATATCCCTTTGACCATATACTTGAAAGTATCTGTACTATATTTAAAGGAAGTTTAAATAGCCATTAAAGATTATTTGTGATTCAATACCCCTCCTCTTCTATATATTTTAATATACTCTTAATATACTTTATTTTAAAATCTTTATCTTTAAAGGCAACATTATCAGGAAGAAGAGAATCTATGTATCACAAAATATATTTATAAATATTTCAGATATTCAGAACCATATTTATGCTTCATTTTGCAGTTTGCACACAATATATTATCCACGTTTTATGGAATTTATTTAAAATCAATGTAACTATTACATAAAACTGAAGAGGCAAAGTCAACATCATGTCGTTAAGTACTTCCTGTAAATAATTAACAGTAATACAGTGGCAAGTATTGTACTTCTGTGATAATAATAGACTGGCAACTCGCTCTGTTTAACATCAGAAACACTGATGTCATAATTGTTTGATTGTATGCCATTAAGTCAGTGTTGGCTCTTAGTGACTACAAAGATAACCCTCCTCTAAATGATCTCTCTCCTACCTGTCTCATCAATGCACTTTAATATGAATTTCTGACTGATGTCTTCATAGATGTTGTAATATTGTTTCTTGTCTCTTCTAATAGTTTTCCAAAATTCTGTTAAGATGCCATATTATTTGACTTTATTTTCTCTTTTCAATAATATTCACGACTTGTTCTGACATCCAATTTGCTTATCTTCTGTATTATGGAATTCAGTTCTCAAAACAGTCCCAGTAACATTAACAGACAGTTTAGGGGTTTTACAATATTTAATCTATCTGATTTCAATTGCAGAACGATGGACTATCAATAGATGAAGACAAAGAGGTAGTGAAATCTCTAAAGTCTTTACTTTCATAGCCCATTTTATAGTCTTAAAAGTTACATGGGGTTCATAATTCACATTAGACACTGCTTCTACAATTAATTTGCAACAGGACTGCCATTATCTTTACTTTTTTAAAATGAAAGTAAGCCAGCTTCCCTTAATACTTCCCCTTTCTCTTTGGTATCAATCTGTTTCTATCTCCAGAATATTACAGAAACTGAATTATGGTATTGTTTAGTTGAAAAGCAGAACTGACTGCCTATCTAGATACCTATAAGGTATTAATGGTTGATTCACATAGCTCTAATTATTGTTTACATACTCAAGATTAAAAGAAGAAAACTTGGCTGGAAAACTGGTGTCCCCACAAAATTCTTATTATTATATCTTCTTTTTGGGTGAATTAAGTTAGGGCAGGATTTCTTCAATAGATGACATGAACAGAATAGATGAGTTTAGCAAATAACGGTTGATTCCTCACTATATGTTTCCTTCAAGTGTCAACCTCAAAAACTGAAAGGATCCCTGTTGGAATTTTTGGTCTCATTACCGTGCTGCCCTTTGATGTCTCTCATCTCTTGGTTTAGCATAGCAGCACAGCCTTGGGTGTTCTGTGTTCTGGTGATGACATTAAGTTTTGTGGATCAGGGTAGCTATTTGGAGACTTTATTGCTTGTGAGGTCATGCTGTTGCCTGTTGGCAAAGACTTTACCAAAGAATTGTTTTGAGGTCATTATTGTCCTATCCAAAAGAACATAGGATCAGGAAACAACCTGCTTTTTCCAGCAGCCAGAACAGAAATGATCACTAAGGTATAGAACCCTGCACTAAGATAGAAGAAAGCAGCAAGCAATACAGCTCTGCAGATCTTTGTTCACATAATAGGTTTATTCCATTTTCAAATGGAAAACATAACTTCCTGACAGATTATGGTATTATTTAGTTGAATTATTATATAATTCTCTAATTTGGCTGTACCTACTTCAATAGCAGGCTGGCACCAAGATACAGTCTCTTTTCTAAAAACATGTCCCCAAGAAATTTTAAGCTGCCATCTCAGCAATGGGATATGGAGAGTATGTGAGTAAATTCTTAAGACTCATCATCTGATTTAATCACGATCAAGGAACATGCCTAGAGGATATTGTTTTACATTATCAGATTAAAATCAGTAACCGCTTTTTAAAAAAGGACAATGGGTACAATCAAACTGGAAAAAAGTTGCAAGAGTGAGATTAATTTGGTACACGCATTGCATTAGGCTATAAAATGGCTTGTTAGTTTGCTATAAGAATCCAGGAATTAAAATATAATATAAAATTAGAATAATTTTGTGGTAACATTTTTTTCTGTTAATGCACAATGTTTACTTGATACAGGTCTTTTAATCTTACGTAAAGCAAAATGTACTAATTATGTTGCTTCCTTCAATGAAATAAAGTTAATTTTGTAAAGGTAAGTTATTCATAGTATTGAATAATGATAATGAATCTTTATAGCAATAAACTAACAATCTTATTTTGCTGAATGATTTGTATTTTTATTGTTTGTGGAGAAAGCAGTAAGAACAGTAAATTTTGTATGGGAATTGGGCATATTTATTATATTGTGGTACATTTAATTATGTCTTAAATTTCATATTTTCTGACACATCTTTAGAGGTGATAGTAAACTGGTTTGGCTAGTTTTCTAATCTAGCCTTTATTAAAGTGGGCAACATTTCTACATTTTCTAACCCCTTTGTTTAGTTGTTCAATGGCAAAGCTACATAATATGAGGCCATCTGGTGGCGAGAATAAAATCTAAGTTTAGAATATAGACCTGAGTTTGGTTCCTATTCTCTGAACTGCCTTTTTAAAAATACAATTACCCAAACAATCAGTGGTTGAAAGCATGTATTTAGACTACCTTTACCTATTTGCAGAATAGGCATGCAAATAAAAATAACAAAGCAATTCAAATGATTTCTGCAGACTGATGCTTTTTAAAAAAGCGAATATTTTTATTTTTTCATTTCATAACATTTACAGCCTGCCCCCCCCTAAGGAAATTTTGGTAGTAGAAGAACAAAGTTCAAAAAAATGCACTCTAACTTGGTCTTTGGATAGCCTGTTGATCTTTGGAAAGGATTTATAAACTTAAGTTTTTCTTCAGGCATTTGACTCTGGAAAATTGGAGACGAGATGACGCTCAGATTCTTAGTGTTATCTGCATATCAGTGAATTATGTTCGAAGTAAAGTTGACAGCAATCCACCTTAAATACTCCCAGCATTATTTGGACTGTAAGAATCCTGACAATCAATAGATAGCAGCAAATCTCAAAGGTGGTAGCCCCAGAATATTTGCAGGGAAAGTGGTACAATTACATGCCTTATAGTACATATAGTACATCCATGACTCAAATAGGCGCGCACCTTGCAAATCGTTCAGAGAGAAAAAATTGTGCATTAAGTACTTACTCTTGGGATGGGGGGAGCAGAGAGAGCGGAGCGAAAAACTTTCCCGTCGCTAGGTTACCCGAGGAAACATCCTCTTTCCGCCATTGCCCAGCTGGTCAGGATGGTGGGCGGGCTACCGGTTAAGAGGCTGCGTGGGACCGTTGGGCAAGTGTACCAGGGGAAATATATCGACCGGTTTCCTGAGCTCCCCACAGTAAGTATTTATATCTTGTGTTCGTCACTGACGCCATCTCGGTCTTTCTGCTTTTGGATTAGTAGTTGTCCCAACTCTTCGTTGTCCAAAGCAGGGGTCTCCAACCTTGGCAACTTTAAGCCTGGAGGACTTCAACTCCCAGAATTCCCCAGCCAGCTTAGCTTAGTTTAGCTGGCTGGAGAATTCTGGGAGTTGAAGTCCGCCAGACTTAAATTTGCCAAGGTTGGAGACCCCTGGCCCAAAGGACGCCCCATCCCCTGCCTTTTAGACCAGCGTTTGTCAAACTCGGCAACTTGTAAGACTTTCAGAGATTGACAAACACTGTTTTGGCCACCTTTCCCAAGGTCGTTGTCATTTGCAAACATCCTAAGAACATTCTTAAGCCAGAGCAAAATGGAATTGGGGAGAGTTACTGCCAGACCACAATCTAGACACTTTGTAATTGTAAAATAACAAAAATCTGGACGAGTGTTAGATGGTTTTCTGGGATGGGACCCTCCAAATCTTACCAGGACCTAGTGAAAGTAAAATAAATGCTGTCTAATCATACTGAGCTCTGGAACTGGAGTACAATCATTTTCTTTTCTATGTCTTTTGCCTGTGTAGTTTCACTTGTTGCTTTTTGTAGGCTGGAAAGTTGATACCAATTGGAGAAACAGCTGCCTCTTGTCTTACTGAAATCCTACCCAAAGTGAGTATCTTAATTCTTCAATCTTATTATCTTTCCATTTAACCACCTTGCATGTGTATTTGTGTGTGTGTGCATGCGTGCAATTATTAAACATCATGTTTTGTCCCATTAACTATATTTAATTATAGTTCAAGACAAATTAAATTAAGCCAAATTAATTTTGATCTGGACTCTCCTCATGTTTTTTAGAAGTAAGTCTTCAATCATACCAAGGAATCCTAAAGGTTTTTTTAAAGACATATATAAATGTAAAAAATGTAGTTCATTTAAAAAAATGAAGTTCTGATGGAACACTTAGGTCCAGAATAGCCATTCCACACATTTAAGCTGATTTGTCAATGATCATTACCAATTGTTCATGTACATTACCCTTTGGGAAAACAATTAGAGAACAGTTTCACTTTTAAAAAAAATACTGTGCCATGTTGTTTAATACTGTAATGAAAGATTAGGAAGATATTCCTTCAGAACAATCAAGATATGTAAGACATTTTATGGGTATTTAAAATATATTTCTGTTTTCACATTGTTAGCAGTAGAGATCCTGTGAAGATAACAATCAGTGAGAATATTAATAATATTACAGACATTACTTCTGCTTGAAATATTTTTGTTGTAATTATACTGGCTGATAATTATGAGTTGTGGCCTACATTTCTGGAGAATACCAGTTTGGGGATGACTATTAAAGGACTGTAATGTCATATCTATTTCTCTTTACTCTCCTTTCCAATAATTATACCTTTTGATGAACTACATTGTAAAACTTGACAAATTAGTGATATTTTATCTAATTCTAATAAAGGTGTTATTTTGAGTATATACAGGTAGTCCTCATGAAATGAACATGCAGTTCATTTAGTGACTGTCTGAAGCTACGACGGCACTGAAAAAAAGTGACATGACCATTTTTCACACTTATGACCATTGTACCATCCCCATGGTCATGTGATTTACATTCAAATGCTTGACAACTGGTTCATATTTATGATGGTTGCAGTATCCTGAGATCATGTAATCATCTTTTGCAATGTTCAGACAAGCAAAGTCAATGGGGAAACCAGATTCACTTAATAACTGCAGTGATTCACTTAGGAAATGTGGCAAGAAAAGTTGTAAAATAGGACAAATTTCACTTAACAAATTTTTCACTTAATAAAATTAATTCTATGTTTAATTGTAGTCATATGTTGAGGACCACCTATATTAATGAACTAATGCAGTTAGGTGGGTTACTCCTGGTTCGGCCCTAATCAGGCAAACCGGTAATAGCAGTGATGAGAAGCTTCTCCCACCCATCTGGTCACGAGCAAGCGCAAGCATGCCTGAACTGGTAGTAAAAAAATTGGCAACCCATTACTGTAAGACACATCTAATTTTTAAGGCAAGATATTTACAAGAATATAAACTTTAAAATGGCTTTCATGTTGTCTTATAGCCAATTACGCCACCTGTTGTACAAAAGTTTCGAAATACCAGCAATCCTCCTACAGGTAAAGAAAGAGTATTTTATGGCCGAGCAAATGATCCTGATATTGCATCATATTTGACTCATGGAATAACAACCGTCCTTCCAGAGAATGTAAGAATGCATGTATCTTTTCTTTTTTTTCTAAGCAAAGAAACAATACTTGATTTTATTGATGTGAAACAGAATCTTGATTAGTTCTGAATAAGGAACACTTGGTGGACATGTTGAAATATGATTTCCTGTGTAAAATTATGGCTGGTATTTCTATAACTTATATCAGTCAAATCCCTGCAATATAAGTCTGATAAATCAAAGTCAGGAATAGTCTTGTCATACCTTCGTTATTGAAATGATTTCTCTATTAAACAACAAAGTGAACATCAAAAAAAATAAGGTTGACAGAAAGAAGAGCAATAAGCTAGGTAGAACCCTAAATTGGTTAAATCGTAGAATTGGAAGGGACCACTTAGACCTTCACTTGTAAAATTTATTCTTTTTATTAATACAAATAAAAGTGGTCCCAGAAAGTAGCTGCCAATATTTCAGATAAAAAGATTAATAGAGTTGGAAGGGAACTTGTAGATCATCTAGTCCAAACCACCCCCAAGGAGGAGACCCTACACCATTTCTGACAGATGGCAATCCAGGCTCTTGAAAGCCTCCAGTAATGAAACTCCCACAATTTCTGAACGCAACCTGTTCCGTTGGTTGATTGTTCTCACTGTCTGAAAATTTCTCCCTATTTCTAGGTTGAATCTCTCTTTGAATATTTCACTCAAATACATTTAGTAAACAAAGCCCGTGATCTTTTTTACCACTTTGGTTCACTATTTTTACTGTCAGAAAGTTTACCCAAACATTCATTTAGAGGGGCGTTGGTCTTACCTGATACACCACATCTCATAGGGTGGAGATAGCATTCAGAATGGGTTGACTTCGTCTGCTCGCTGATTGGACTGAGTCTGCCAAAGTTGTTGTTTAGACATGCCCTTTGACACCCACATAGTGGAACTATGCTATTGCTAACTGGAGGAACTGCCAATGCTGGGGGTGAATGGGAATGTGCAAGTACGCCTTGGTGAGGTCAATGGAGGCGAGGAAATCACCATGCCGGCCTGCTAAAATGGAATGAAAGGAGTGCATCTTGACCAGCGGTATACAAGATGGCAGTTCAGTATTTTAAAATCAAGAATCGCCCTGCAACCCCCAGAGGCCTTCGGAATGACAAACAGAATCAAGTAAAATCCCTGCCCCATTGCCCTTCTGGAGGCCATACATTAAATTGTATGACCTCAATGTCCAGCAGATGCTGAATTGCCGAAGTCATAAGGATCTTCTTAGAAGGATTCTTTGATATGGGGCAGTGATGAAGAACCTCGGGGGTGTGGAGAGAAACTCCAAGTTAGACCTGACCTCACAGTCTCTCTAACCCAGGTGTCCGAGGTAGTCTCCTCCCAGTGGTCAGCGAATAGGGCCAATTGACTGCCAATGGGAGGTTGAGTCATGCCTCTATTTGGAGCAATGCAAACTTCCTGCACCCTGAAAGGGCCACTTCGACTGTCTACCTCGGTAACCTGTCCTGATACTGGTGATGCCTCGGAAAAAAGTCTCCCTGTGGCCAGGCTGTTGCTGGCGGTGGAATTGGCCCCCAAAAGGAAGGCCCGATGACATATGGGTATGGATAGTCTACCTCTCCGGTAGACAGAAGGCAATATCTTCCTCTTGTCCTTGGACTCAATGAGGAACAGGTCCAGAACTTCACCATAGAATTGTTCCCCTTTGAAATGGGCCGCAGCCAAGCACCACTTGTGGTGACTGTCGGTCTGCCATTGCTGAAGCCAGAGCAGAGGCGGGTTGCTACTGTGGAGTCGATAGATCTGGCTGCAAACTTTGTGGTGTTGAGCATAGTATCTGCCGAAAATTGGATGGAAGCCACAAGTTTGTTCAAGACCTGGTGTGACCTGACATCTGATGCTGGGATCCTCTGTTGCATCTGGTGAAGCCACAGCAAAGATGCTCTGTTGAAAAATGAAGTGATCATGGATGCTCAAACCGCCCACGCCGCTGCTTGGTGAGCTTGCTGCAGTGTCTGCTCTGCACACTTGTCCTCAGGCTTGAGGCAATCTTGCAGATCCCCTGGCATGGTAGTCAATATGTGGAGCATTGTCACTTGTGCATCAACCTCTGGGACATGTAGAATCTTGGAGAAGTCTGGGGCCACGTTGTAAAATCTTTTATCCATGGCCGATGGATTGGTGGCAGTCCTCAGAGAAGCCCACTTTTGCTGAACCACATCGATGAAAAATTGAGGGATGGAATAACCTCAGACTGTGTAGTGGGTTCTGCAAACAGTGACACTGTTGGATCAGGGTTGCTGGATTCAAGTTGCATAGCTGTGGAACACAGTTGGGCCACATTACGCACCTTAAATAACAGGGACTTAATAAGCCCTGTTGGAAAAGTCCAGTAAACACTGGCTTATCTGGCCCCATATTCTCATCCTCAGATAATTGGCTTTCTTTCTGCCCCTCATCTTCCTCTGGCATCTGGGATACCGGGTCTGGAAATACACCCTGAAATTGGGAGCTGTTATTTTGGGGTGGATCTAATGAGTAAGCCTATCCTCCAGAAGGTCTCACATATTGCTGAAAGGCTGCAGCAATTTATTGCTTTATTGCTTCATCTATGATTGCCTGCATATTGTCTGGTACAGGAGCTGGAGACCCCAATTCTGGGCGGAGCCCAGCAGCTGTGGGGATGAAAGTGGTCTTTGGAACGGCTCTGACTACTCCCCCTCCCCCGGATTGGCTCAAAATGCTGCAAAAACTGCTAAAATATCTGCAGAACCCCAGACATCTGAGCTGTTGCAAGGCTGAATAGAACATTTGAATTTTTCCTGCTCTCTAGCACCCTCTGGTGACAACTGCAGCCTATCAGTTGGGTTGGCCTAGCTTAACCTCCTAAATCTGACAGAAGAGGCTATCTGCTATTAGCCTTATTGCATATCTTTTTCCAGAGCCTTCTGTCTTCCACATTCGTCTTTTTTTGCAGCCTTAGATATTCTTAGAGCCTTAGCATTCTTTCTGGCCTTGGAACTGCACTTTTTTTGAGTAACTGGAGGCTTTTGACTTCTCAGCCATTGACGATGCTGCTGGGACTGACCCCCTATGCCTCAGGCTGCCACTCCAGTTCTACTATCCTTTGCACGATTGAAACTGCTTTTACTGCAGCACTGTTGCCCCCAGGCTCCATGCTGCCACAGATTACAGTAAAGAGTGCTAAATCACACAAATTGGCTGCCGCACATGCCACGGTACTGTCAGCACTCACGCGGCACCTCCCAATTTAAATCTTGCGACTCAAATTTTATCTTGATTTTGGCAGTCTGAGCAATATGGGAATTCCAATTTCCCATGCTGACCAGGAATAGCAGCCTTTGGGAGCGCTTTCCCTCTCTGTCAAGGAAATTATTTAATTGGCCACAAAGAGCATAAAACTCTTTAAAAGGTCACCGCTGACAGTCACTATTAACCAAGGCTCTAAAGGCACCACTCCATTTGTCTGACCAAGACAGGATGAAGTAAAAGACCCCTGAACATTAAGAGCAATTGGTTTGGGGTCTGAATGGTGGCAGAGCCTCTGCAAAGATGACCTGACAACTCCTTATATAATTAAGAATGCTTGCATTAGCAGAGCATGAGGCTCTGCAACCAGCTGCAATTCTAACTGTCAGATCTATTTGACAGAAGTCCCTCAGGGCTCGAGCTGAAGCCCTGCCACCGAGAACCTCTAAACCAGTGACTCTACCTAGGAGAGGAAGTTCAACTAGCACTACTCACAAGAGAAAATATTTTTGATGCTAAAATCCAAATTTTCTATAAAGGTGACCAGAGAAGGACTTACACATCTGTCCAGCTGAGAAACTGAGGAGAAAAAGCTGGAAAGAAGTAGCAACAAGGGCATGTCTAAACAACAGCTTTGGCAGACTCAGTCCAATCAGCGAGCAGACGAGGTCAACCCATTCTGGTCAACCCATTCTATCTCCAGCTAGATGGAGGATTTATATTCCGTAACTTAAATCATTATTACCCTGGGATGGCAAAGGAGGTTGTGATTTTGTTTTGACACTCTTTCAGGTATAGCTGAAACTCGAAAAATTAGAATATTGTTCAAAAGTTCATTTATTTCAGTAATGCAACTTAAAAGGTGAAACNAGAGGCGCGGGGACTGGCTTTCTCCGGACCGGCTTTCTCCGGGGGGAGGCGAAGGACCAGGCTGCAGCGCAAAGGCTCCTGGGCCGTGCGCAAAAGCTCCTGGGCCGTGCTCAAAGGCTCCAGGGAAGAGAGCCCCGCGCGTCCCTGCGCGCGCTCAGTGGGCCACGGTAAAATTATCAAAGGCTGACTGGTCCGCGGCGATAAAAAGGTTGGGGACCACTGCCTTAGTGAACACCTTTTGCTTCATGAGCAGCATGTGGAGTACATATGGAGAGTGTTAGTAAAGAAGCTTGCTATGTTTCTAACAGCTCAGCTGCATTTTATTCAGCCTAATTCAATAGAAAACAATACCAGCATTGTTGGTTTGCTGCACAATAAGGATTTTCCAAGATATTTATTACACAGAACTTGCCAGCATAGCACCGTGTTTACAATTTGTTTCATGGTTCATTATAATCCTTTTATGAGTGTCTTGCATAATACTCAACAACTAGCAATAATAAAGCAGAGAAAGCACTGATTGTCTGACATTCTACATTCATACAGAGTTCTGGTGGCACAGTGTTAGAATGCAGTATTGCAGGTAATTCTGCTGACTGCCGCTGACCCGCTCAAGGTTCATTCAGCCTTCCATCCTTCTGATTGTTGGAGGCAGTATGCTGACTTTGTAAACCACTTATAGAGGGCTATAAAGCACTGTAAAGCATTATATAAGTCCAAGGGCTATTTTTATTGTTATTCTCATAGCTCAGTTGTTAACTAATTTTGGCTGAGCAGTAATTGATTGAACATAATCTCTAAAACTTTTAGAACCACTTTAATTAACATATGGGATCTGCTTGTGAGGATGAAATAAAGATCCAAAACTGGATTGGATGCACATGGGGACTTGAGGTGATAGTAATTATTCAAACTGTTTGGATATAATTAACAAGATGAGAGACCCCACAGGTTAACAACATATGCCCAATTAAATTCAGAGGTACTGTATTTTTCGGAGTATAAATGCACCAGAGTATAAGATGCACTAAGGTTTTGAAGAGGCAATTTTTTTTAAAAAAAGTAGGTAGTTAGAGAAATAGAGAGAGATAGAGCAATACAGTAGGTAGGTAGGGAGAGGGAGAGAAAGTGTAGATAGGTAGGGAGATATGAAGGTAGAGGGATAGAGAGAGAGAAATAGAGAGGGAGAGAAATACTATAGATAGATAGGGAGGGAGAGAGTAGGTAGGTTGGTAGGTAGAGGGATAGAGAGAAATATAGAGAGAGAGGAAATACAATAGATAGGTAGGGAGAGAGAGAGAATTGGTAGGTAGGTAGAAGGGGAGAGAGAGAGAAATACAGAAGGTAGGTAGGGAGAAAGAGTAGGTAGGTAGATAGATGTTTCCAGGTGTATTTATCAATATGCTGGAGAAGGAAATCACAGACAATCTGCAGCACCTAAGACTTTGTTTCTGCTGGCACAGCACTTGATCAATNTAAAAAAATATAGGTAGGTAGATAGAGGGATAGAGAGGGAGAGAAAGAGAGAGAAATACAGTAGGTAGATAGGGAGAGAAAGAGAGAGAAATACAGTAGGTAGATAGGGAGAGAGAGAGAGAGTAGTTAGGTAGGTAGGTAGATAAAGGGATAGAGAGAGAGAAATGCAGCAGGTAGGGAGAGAAAAAGTGTGTGTAGATAGGTAGTAGGTAGGTAGGTAGGTAGGTAGGTAGGTAGGTAGATGGATAGAGGGAGAAATAGAGAGAGAGAGAGAAATACAGTAGATAGGGAGAGAGAGAGAGTAGGTAGATAGATAGATGGATAGAGAGAGAGGAATATAGTAGGTAGGGAGAGAGAGAGAGAGTAGGTAGGTAGATAGATGGAGAGAGAGAGAGAGAGAGAGAGAGAGAGAGAAATAGGTAGGGAGAGAGAGAGTAGGTAGTTAGGTAGATGCTTCCAGGTGTATTTATCCATGTGCTGGAGAAGGACAATCTGCAAACCTAAGACTTTGTTTCTGCTGGCACAGCACTTGATCAATGTAATTCTCATCAGTCAGTTAAAGAGCTTTCCAAAAGAGGGAGGGGAGTTTTTGCACTCTGCAAACCTCCCAAACTGGCCTGTTTTTCATGAAAACAGACCCCTTTTTTTCCCAAGAAAAGGCATGAACAGTCTTGGAGGGATGGCTTGCAGAGAGCTCCTGAGGGGTGCCCCCCCCAAAATGAGCAAAAAATGGCCAATTTTTCACAAAAATTGGCTGTTTTTGTCAAAAAAATTGCATGGATAGCCTTATGGAGGCTTATAGAGTGCTGCCGGGGGCTGGGGGGGGGGAACAGCCACTTTTTTGCTCATTTCTGTCCTCCCCAGCCCCCAGGAGCTTTCTGAAAGCCTCCATAAGGATATGCACGGCCATTTTGGTGAAGGAGGTGGGGCTTCAGGAGGCAAAAAAATCCTGTATTCAGTGTATAAGACACATCCAGATTTTCAGCCTCTTTTTTGAGGAAAAAAGGTGCGTCATATACTCCAAAAAATATGGTAATAAAATTTAGTCAATCCCAGAATTATGGAATGGAATTATAGAATTATTCCAAACAAGCCCTAAATTTTTATTCCTTAAAAGCTATAAATTGATAATTTACAATTTTCTGGTTTACACCTTCCCAATTGTCCAAATTTTAAAATCTTATTTTTCTTTTTTCCCTTCTATCACCTTCTTTTGTATCATAGAATGTTCTATCAAGTAGCATTAGGAATTCATAAATCCAAACTGGCCCACTAAATTCCACGAAGTCTTTCAAATCCACCTTCCAGTAAACAATTTCAATAGGATTTTAGTTATTTGCAATTCAGTTTGTCTTAAAAATCTTCAAAAAGCTCATTAGATATTTCCAAACATCCAAGTCGCCTATTGAAATAGAATAGTCAAGTGGCCTTCTAGGTGTTATTTACTTTCACTCCTTTGTGTATCTTAAACAATTATCACTTTTCTACAACCTAATGAGAAATTTGTGGTTTCCTCATGGTTGTTGAAGCACCTCTTCTTCCTTCAACACCCCTCCAGGGTGGCTTTGACCTCGTACGGTCTCCTGACAAGCAGATACTGGCTGGTCTTCATGGAGCTTGGCAGAGCTTCACTATTTCCAGCTGTTCCCGCCGCGACCACCAACTGGTTCTCCTAATTATTTTTTTATTTTTATTATATTAAAAGTATAGTTTGAAATGTGGGATCATTCCAAACACATTTTAGGATTGGGTGCTACTTTGGAATCTTAAGTTGTGCATCTGCTTTAGAGAAATAGTTAGGTATTTTTTCTTGCTGTCTTTAATTTTCAGCCTTTTTATATGTTGTTATATGTTGAGGTAAAAATGTATGCATTCAGAAATAATATTATTTTTGTATGACTTGGATTGGTACCCCTCAGTCACTTGTATCTGGCTTGGCAGTTTTTGTTCACGGGATTCTGATTAATTATGTTGGAGACCCAGTGATTTAAAATGCTTTGACTATCAAGATTCTATTTTACAGTGCTGTAAAGCACTGTAAAGCGATATATAAGTCTAAGTGCTATTGCTATTGCTATTAACCCTGTCTCCTTTTTTGTTACCAAATTATTCATTTTTATGTTCTTTTCTTATATGTTCTGGTAAATAAATAGTTAATCTAGCAGAAGGAGTTTAACACAACAAAATGAAACATATACATCAAGATAGAGATTGCAGTTCAAAGCCAATAATTTATTCTCTTGACTTGATTCAGTTTGTTTGCTGACTTTGTCTAACCCTCTTCCCTAATTGCAATGTTACTAAAATGGCTTTAAATCAATTATATTTAACTGTGGTATAGCATTTGATATTGCAGGATATTGAAAATTAACTCAAAATTTGAATAGTACTTGTCATCGGTTTATAGCATTACAAAACTTGTTGATAATGTGATTTGAAGAGGGATGTCAAAATGTATTCTTTTTCCCCCATAGGATTCATAAAAAATACTTGTTCTTTGGTGATTAGGCATTTTTCTTCTATTTCTTTCTTTTCTTCTTTCTTTTTAATTACCACAGGAAAAAATCAGCAAAAATTGTGTCTAAAATAAGTGATGATTTCAAGGAAAAGTTTCAGCCTCAGGTTGGAAAAGTTCATGATCCGTAAGTCAACTAAGAGAATTCTACATTAAGATCTTCTAAAATTGATTATTTATAAGAACTTATTCACATATTGGTTCAATAACTATTTGGGACTAGATATATCTTGGCAAACTCTGATTGCTAGCATTCATAATCATGTAGCGCACCATATTGCTTTATCTCATCTTGGTTCTTATTCTGAGATATTTTTTTCAGATAGGGACCTTACTTTTTTCCTGTTGCTCTGTTATGCATGCTTGCCCTGGTTCCATGATGTCAATATCAATAATGTGCTGCAGAGCATTAAAAATTCACAGTTCTTACTGCCTGAAGCAGTTAGGCAATAACCTATACCTCATCTACAGCTGCATTCTTTTGTAGGCAATTTGTTTTCTCTTAGACAAACCATTTGATTTAATTCAGGAAAATATCTCAATTTTTGGCATGCTATACCTGAATATTCATTCCACAGGCTTGCAGAACAGTACCTTAGTGCAGTGGTCCCCAACCCCCGGTCCGCGGACCGGTGCTGGGCCGTGGAGTACCTGGCACCGGGCCGCGCAGCGNCTTGCTTTGCATGTAATTAATGAGTCTATCTCATATATTAGTTTCACCTTTTAAGTTGCATTACTGAAATAAATGAACTTTTGCACGATATTCTAAATTTTTTAGTTTCACCTGTATTTATATTATTTTTCCCTTTTTCTAACTGTCTTTTTAAAAATCTAAAATACCCAGGTAACTCAACTTAGTTTCCTATCCCCTGATCATTCTTACTAACTTTTTCTGTCCTTGTTCCAGTTTATATGAATCATTTTAATGAAGGATAGTCTTAAAGTAAAACTTGATTATCTGCATATGTATCATTCACCTGGTGCCCAATGTCTCTGCTTGGAACACATAAATAATAGGATTTTTTTTCAAAAAAAATATCTATAAAATTGCAATATCCATAACATAAATACCTATACTATATATTCCTTGTCACCAGAGATAATCTTTCAATCAACCAGGGACTTATAGTAGCTCTTTGTAAAACAGAGTATGTTAGAGTTACCCACCATTTATAATAATTTTTGAAAAACAAAGGATTAGTTATAGCTTTAATGATATTACATGATTTGTAATAGATGTATTTTAATGGTAACCAGTGTGTCTATGAAATTTTGGTTGTTTCATATTTCATTATATTTAAATATGAATGCTTTGAATAATGTATAACAAACATAGGAAATGATGAACATGTGCAAGAAATTTCAAGATGCTAGTTTACCAAAAGATAACAGTATCTTAAAAAAAAATCACTCACACTTTTTTTCTGTTCTAAATCAAATTAGTAGCTGATACTGTGCCATAGTGTTAATAAAATTGATGTGATAGCATAATAGGTAATTCAGCACTAATATATTTTATATGGCATAAAACTTTTTCAGGCATCACCATTAATAAATCCACCTCCTAAAACATGTTTCCAACAAAAAATTAAAGAAAAGAAAGAATCTGTCTACTTAAGTAGCTGTCAGGCTCCTCTTGGGAAATCTCATGATCAGTCCCTACGATTGCCTAAAGGATTTGATGTGAATAATACTCGATTTGGAACAAAAGTAAAAAAAGGTAGGAAAATTAGTAAGAATATATAGTGTCATTTCATGCTGTAATTTAACATGGAATTGAATAATTTATTTGTTTTATCTCACCTTTGTTATTTTTTACTAAATAACTCAAGATAATAAGCATATATATTCTTTCTCTTCCAATTTTCCCCACAGCAATAACCTTATGAACTGACTGAGAAAGAGTGACTTGACCCAAAGTTACCCAGCCAGCTTTCATGCCTAAAGCAGATTAGTTCATATAAAAACAATAATATGAGATAAACTCCAAACATAAAAAGTAACCATCTAATTTGCAGGTGTACTTACAATTAAGTTGGATAGATCTATCATGCTATCCCATAGTTTACTAACCCTGATTTGTTGAACAAATCTTAGTTATATAGTTCATGCACAATATCAACCCGTAAACATTGATTTATAAATTACAATAGATAGGTATACCCACCTTGTTAAACCAAGCCCAAGAAAGCACCTTATATTTAGTATATTTAGCAAACCCATTTTCAGAGCTGACTACTACATGGTACTCAGCCTTTCATGTGTTTCAAGTTGCTCTGATCCTGCTACATCCACCAAATTAGGAGAAAATCATATAGAGAGATATTTATTGACCTTCCTCTTGTATATTATGATCTCTCCAGTGCCCAAGAAATTTCCTCTGAATGGTCTTTTGGTGATGATTCTTCCAACTAAATCCCAGTAAGGTTCTATTAAAAGCCAGGATAATTTTCAGCCTAACCCTTTCAGATGTGTTTGAATCAAAACTTCACAGTTATTATGGTCAGTTCCTATTGGACCTGTTCTATACAGGTAAAGAAGTTTTCAGTATCCTTATCTCTTTTTTTCTGATGGACTTGGGAAAGAATAACCATATTCTTCCTGATGAAAGTATAAATATTTAAATACCTCTGTCACAGGTCTGCTAGATAGGAAATGTTGAATTTTATGCACGTTTTATGCATGGTGGTTTGTTTTATTTGACCAACTAAAAAACAAGAGCACTTATTTCAGACAATTTTTATCAACTATTTTCAAAATATAATGAGAATAAACCAATAGAGGAAATAATTATATTTTATACATACTAATTATGTATAAAGAAACAAACCAAATATTAATATGAACAAATTTGAGAGTATAAGTCAAGAAAAATTCTAGAAAGTGTTCTTGCCATAACAATTGTTGATATCTGTGTTGGTTAACATTTCCCCCTCTCCCTCCCTCCTTTGCTCTCTTCCCCCTCTCTCCTCTGAATTTTACTAAAATGTATTAGAAAATGTTTTAATTTATAAAAACCAATTCATATGCTGTTATTCAATAATAAGTATATTTCATTCATGCATGGCTACACACAGTATGTTTTCCTATAGATATACAAATAAAAACTCTGGAACCAAATAAGTGAACAGTCTCTAAGGATATTGAAATTATAAATATTGATTTATATTAGATTATTTCATTACATGTATTGATTGATTTTTCAGAGATTTCTGCTGCAGACATTGTAAATCCCCAAAAGACATTTGATGAAGTCCAAAAGGAAGCACAGGAGGGACATGACTTATATGTTACAACACACAATGATTATTTTGTTGGTGAGTAAAAAGGACAAATATCAAGAAAAAGCTCTAATTGTAAATATGAGCATCATTTTATTTAGCAAAGATATGTTTATTTTCCACTTTATAATAAGGAATAAATTTAACATTTGTCTTGCAATGTCTTTTGAAGATTTTGTTACATTGATACTAATATATTTGATAAATGGAAACAAAATGGTCACAGGAATGCATAGCTCTGACACTTCTTTATAGGAAAATCAATTATGCGTAACCCTAAACTTATGACCATTTGTTTAGCAACCATTTAAAATTATGATGAGTGCTGAAAAAAGTGGACTTACCATCTTTGCCTGAAGTTATGGCTGCTGCAGTGCTCCTATAGTCATATGATCATGTTTGGCAACTCACCCACATTTATGACTGCAGGGGTACTTCTTGGGCCTTGTGAGAACAGACATGCTATTTGTAGAACAGCAGGAGTCCCATTCTGGTGGTGCTTTTTATGACCTCATTTTCCTAATCATGTACACCATTCCTTCCCTAATTCATGAGCCCATTCTTGTGAAACTAGGAAAGACAGAAGGTTTCCAAAGGATCATGAGAATGATCCTTTGGCTTGAAGAAGGAATGGAATATGCCACTTGGAAAACAGTTGAGGTGGCAAAAACCAGTAACATAGAGTTTGAGATGGCATTTCTCAATGACAGTGGTGTTGCTGGAAGTGAAATAGATATCTGGGGGCAATGGTAGCTGGATGAAACTACTAAAGATGTAGAGAAAAGTAAAGTTTTACATTTAGGCAAGGAAAACCAAATGTACCAGTACAGATTAGGTGAAAACTTGGCTCAAAGGCAGAAACTATGGCAGCAGGCAGAAAAACCAATGAATCCTTGGTTGCATAAACAGAGGAATAGAGGCAAGATCATGTGAAGTATTAGTACGGCTTTATAAAACCTTAGACAGATGACACATTACATCCACTTTTGGTCACCTCGCTATACAAATATGTTGAGACTTGGAAAGAGTGCAGAGAAAAGCAAGTAAGATGATTACTGTCCTTGAAACTAAAACATGAAGAATGGTTGCAGGAATTGAGTATGGCTAATCCAGAGAAAAGAAGGACTAGGGGTAACATGATAGCAGTGTTCCAATATTTGGGAGGCTGCCACAAAGAAGAGAAGCAACCTGGAATTAAGGGGAAACATCCTAATAGTGAGAACAATTAACCAGTGGAATGACTTGCCTTCAGAAATTGTGGGTGCATCCTTACTGGAGGCTTTTAAGAAGACATTGGACAGCCACTTTTGTAAAGGGTAAAAGGCCTCTTGCTTTAGCAGGGGTTGGGCTAGAAGACCTCCAAGAACTTCTCCAATTCTATTATTCTGTATTATTTTGTAAGATCCCAGGCTTGTACTTCAGCCCCAACCCCAACACTGCTGCCAAGTATCGCTGTGCAGTACAGCTAAAAGCCATAGATTGGGAAGGGAAGGTGGAATTGCAGCCACTCTGCACTTCTGGGTCAGATGGGTAGCACTGCAGTACCCCACCCCCCCACAACTAATAAACTGCCTGCCCCAGGTCTCCGGAGGCTTCCTTGAGGCATCCAGCATTCCTTACTTGGGATTCCTTCTGCTTAATGACCTGCAATTTTTCATTAACAATAGGAGCTGGAATGCCAGAATTGTGACTGCTAAGCAGTCACAATGCTGTCACATGGCATCTCTTTATGACTGCATCACTTAGTTACTAAAATTCTGATCTCAATTGTGGCATAAGTCGAGAACTACAATACATCCATGCTTAACCTCTTTAATCTGCACTTAATCTCTTTAAATATAAGGAGTAACTTCCCCAATCTTGAGGAATAAAAGAGGTGTTGTAAAAAACTTACTATTCTGAATTCCTTTGGAGAGCAGAGCTGGTTGTGGGGAAGGAAAGAAAAAATGGTTAAGTCCCTCAAGTTGAATTGTGAAATCTTCCAGGATGCAGAAAGGAGTCTAACGTGCCTAGACTTCTATGTTCAGTGAAAAACTAAATAAGAATAGTGTTAAGGTTTGTTTTTATATTATATATATATTTATTTTACAGACTAAATTGGGGGAGTGGTGAAGGGTATCTAAGAGAATGATTTGGCCTCAAAAAACTTTGAAAGAAGTCAATTGAGATTTGTTTTATATTATATATATATAAATAATATAAAACAATATATATATATATATAAACTATATATGTATATGGTGTGTGTGTGTGTGTGTGTGTGTGTGTGTGTGTGTGTGTATATAAATAATATAAAACAAATCTCAGTTGACTTCTTTCAAAGTTTTTTGAGGCCAAATCATTCTCTTAGATACCCTTCACCCCTCCCCCAATTTAGTCTATAAAACCTGATTATTTTATTTAAGCTTATAACTCATTTTTCTTTGCTGCTGTTGTTTGATTAATACACTCTAAAGATTAGCTTTCAACAGATACTTTATTCTAATTTATGTTTCATTGGGTTGTAATTTGGTAACATGGCTCAGAAAACATTGTCCTCTCTAGCTGTATGTAAAATATTCTTGTTTTGCAAACAACAGAAAAATGAAAGCATGTTCTTCTTTTGATTTGTTCCTATAATGCTACTTGAAGAGGGGATGGAATGCCATCTTCCCATAGCATTTTTGAAAGACCCCAAAACATCCTTAGAATAATCTGGAACTAGTTTGGGCCAAAATATTTACAGTTATTTTTGTTAATAGAGTAAAGCACTTTTGTGCAAAAACAATTGAAGCTGGTGAAATTGAAATCTCATATCAAAAAAACCCTAATTTGTAAAAAAGCAATAGATGGCAGAATCTTTCAAAGTTGGAGAATGAATGGCTACATGGTTGTTAACTTAAGAAGATGGGAAGGGAAAGCCCCAAGTTAGATTTAAGGACTAATATTTAAAGGGTAATATGCCAAAATGCACTGAAGGAGCCAAATGCATCTAACCTTAAGTTGCTTGAGAATGCTAAACAGAGACAGGGTTTATTAATCTAGCCGCTCGAAAGCCTTGACAATAAATGATCATGTCCCATTTTCTCCAGGAGAGGCAGTGAATAGAAAATATAATCCATCCACATTCAACAGATTTAATCTTTATGGTAAAGAAACTCCACATTTTAATGATGGCCGGAATATTGGTAGAACTTTACATTGGTTACATGATCTGCAGATGTAAGTTATGCTTTGAATTCATAACTTTTGTATTATCAATTAATTTATAGTGTCAGGGGTCCAAATATTATTAATCATAAGCCTGAATTAATTCCCAAGAATTTTAATTTTTTTGTATATTTTATTTGTAATTTTCCTTTAATAACCAACATATTTTGTGGACAGTGTATCGACTCGGTCGATATATATATTTACACAGTGCTAACTATAATAATAGTAATGCAATTAAATATACATAATCTTTGTCTTCCAACTTCTAACTTTAATATGCTGATTGTAATTATAATAGATTCTTTGATGTATCAATATATATAATATTATTTTCCCAATTTGTACTTATTTTTTCTCCCATTTGTTGTGGTTCTTCTGCACTCAAATCTTTGCCTTTAAACAATACCATTCTCTCTTTACAATTCTTTATCACTTTCTCCATAAATATATTTAAACATCAATAACTTTTCTTCATTCAATGTATTTTTTGACCCCCGATGAACCACTAATATTTAATATTTTAGATATTACTCAATGTTCTACCATAATCCCAATATCTCACTTTTCTATAAATACCAATAAACCAATTATTAATAAGGTTTGATCAGTCCTGGGATTATATATCTAAATCCCCTGAATTATGGTCCTTAAAAGGTATAAATTTCAATATATTTTTACACTCTGTTAATAATTATAGTACATTTAAATATATCTAATCATAGTCTTCCATCTCCTAGCCTTAATATATTTGTGGTTATAATAAATTCTATTATATATCCATATGTGTGCTACAATGACATGTGGTGAAGACGAGGAGGAGTGAGGCAGCGCCGGTGGCTCCTCAGGGACGGTGACAGAAGAGGCTCAGGATACCTGCGCCATCTCCTGCCCATCTTCCGGGACTCGCCCAGCCCGGTGTGTGGCACTTTAAAGTGCATGCCGCCGCCCCGGCCATACAGCGGGACCTGCTTTATGGCTGGAAGGCACGTTGGCACTTTAAAGTGCATCCCACCACCCCGGCCATACAGCTGGCATGTTTTATGGCGCGGTGGCATGGCTTTAAAAAATAAAAAAGTATCAGCCCACGTGCCAGCAGAGGCGGGTAAAACACATACACACACACACACACACACACACACACACACACACACACAAATTACTTATAATAAAACAAATTACAATTACTTCCAAATAATTTTGAATTCCTCCCCCCTNTAATCATCACAATTATGACAAATCACGGTGTGAACTATCTTGCTTTGCATGTAATGAGTCTTATCTCACATATTAGTTTCACCTTTTAATTTACATTACTGAAATAAATGAACTTTTGCACAATATTCTACTTTTTCGAGTTTCACCTGTACATTGTAGAACAAAATCTCTCAATTCTATTGTGTTTCATTGATTTGTGGATGATGATACAGAGTAGGCAAGGAAACCCAAAGCATGGTGGCTTCACTATAATCTCTTTAGCCTTATTTCATTAAATAATTTTCTTTGACAAATAAATATGTATTTTTAAAACAAAGATTACACGTAACTGAAAACAATTCTTTTCATTTTCAGCATAGCAGATACGCTTAATGTTCCTCCAGATCACACATTCGGAATACTTATTCAGCCTGAAGAATATGGCAAGCATAAAAATAGCTTCTCTTATGTTTTACACCTTTCAAATATTACATTAACTTTATTTTATTATTTGAAAATTAATGCTCTCTTCTTCTCTGTGATAAGTTGGTTCACCTATTCTAAAATGGGCAACTTTATGTCTTCCAGGGCTTTATTTTAATAGTCTTTTGACATGGGCCATGCTAGGTTAGAATTAATGGAAGGAGCTGAAGTGGTTGTTTACCAAATCAAATGTTAAAGGAGATAATTCAAGGCTCACTTTCATAACCTCTAAATATTTTGTTTCATCCCTTATCTGCTAGTCTAAAAATTGGAAGGCAATGGAATATATTGTGCTTCTTAATTTGTGGTTCAGTTGCTCCTTAGCAGAGTTCCAAAAACTGATGCTTTCCCATAAAATGAATTATTTGTGACATAGGTAACTGGAGATATATCTGCCTCCATATGTATTTGCTTACATGTTACGATTATTCTCAGGGGCCCTTTTCATGTGTGATTAGCATATGTTCCTTCTGAGATAAATAGGAAGTAATCAACAACAAAAATATTTTTGTGGTAATGCTCTATTTATACGATGGTATAAGTATAAATAAGGTATAAGATGACCTTATTTTCTCAGCTTATATTTACTAAGCATTTCAAATATATTATTTGAATCTCAATACCTGGATAGTATTTTCTTTTTCTTTCTATTACCCTTACTTTTCTTGCTTCCTGTCATTTCTATAACTTTTTATTACATTTAACTGATCTACTTTGTTGTTATTAGTGTACTCTTTTTTATGTTCCTTGTACATTTATTGATGGATGGGTGTAATTTAAAATATAGACAAGAGATTTAAAATAGAGATATGAAAACTGCATCATAGCTATTGTCTACCAGTAAAGCCAATCTGGATATATTTGTATTATGGTGCAATTCACTTTGAGAACAGCATTGTGGAAGTATCACAGAGCAGTTATATATGGTCAAGAAAAGTTTGATGGAATATATCTCTTATTTAGGTGTTGGGGACCTTCTTCATAATCGACTTCCAAGTGAATATCTTAAGAGTAAAGACAGAGAACGTGCTGTTTTTACTGCACTTCGACAAAATTTGAAAAAGGCAAATTACCACAACTTTGATACTTTATTGCATGCATTTCGCCATTATGATAAGGTAACTGACTTTTTATTAGCCTAATAAGCTTTTTTAATGATGTATGAAGCTTTAGACTCCAGTATTCTAAATCCTGCAGCCAAAAGTAAAATGTTTCTATTTATTACTCAGTTGTCTAGTCCCTTCCACTAAGATGAAATTTACTGCATCTTCACTCTATAGATAACTAGGACATGCAGTAGGTTATCATGCAGATTAATGAATCTTGGTGTCTTACACATATCCCAGCGAAGAGGATTTCATCCTGATTTATGAGGATTTCAGGTTTAAAATGTCTATTGTTTGGTTATAATGTTCATTTCTGTTGTATACCCGATCTCAATGTTACATTTCTTAATAAGAATAATCAAATGAAATGGTTTGTATTATCTAAGGTTCCAAACTATCCAAGCAATTCAGGGAATCAGCCTTTTAAGGAAGGGTAAAATAATAGGGGTCTTTTGGATCCAAGAGCTTCCACAGGGCTTCTGTGAAAAAGGCACAAATACTGCCACATTGGATAGCAGTATTTAAGGGAAAGGATTATGCCTTCTTTACCCAACCTGGTATGAGCAGATACCCTCAGAGAGAGGTAATCCAACAAATATTGTGGATAATGCTAATGTTAATTACATTGGCCTATCCTGTGCTTACATTCTGCCCTGTTTTAAATTATTTATCATTATTGTACTTTAACTTTCTGTGAATTAATTGGAGAAAACTATAGAAAAAATGGTATACAAATTGGTGCTATACAACATACAAATCTGTTGTTACTCAAATGTTGTTGAACTATGGTACCTAGCATCACTCATGTTTCAGAATGATGGCTGGAGTCACAGATTTTTTTTCCAACCATGAGCAGATGGATCTCTTCTTATTTCATCTCAGGCATTGATTTGTTCAGTGACCTTGTCTAAGATTTGTAAGTGTGTGAAGAAATACCTGTCTCTGTTAGTTTCTTTTCATACTGTATGATCAGTCAGAGTGGGTATGCACTGTTTTTGACAATTAAACAGTTTCTAATCGGATCCAGAAATTGGACCTTTTTTGTGCAGCGCTTGCCTTATAGAAAAGCATTCAAGAGACCTGTATGGCTTCCCTTTGGCCTTGTTTAGAGAGTCTCTGGAACCCTGGCTTTCCCACCAAGCCTTGAGTTAGGATGCTTTGGAAGCTTTTTTCTGGATATACTGTATATTTGTATATCCAGAAGAAAAAACATTCAAGTGTTATCTTTCTTGTTTATTTCGATTGTTATAATTTTTAATGGTGGATAATATTAGAGTATGTATGGATCTTTAACTTTGTGTGCCTGCCTGCCTGCCTGCCTGCCTGCCTGCCTGCCTGCCTGCCTACCTACCTACCTACCTACCTACCTACATACCTACCTACCTACCTACCTACGTATGTATCTAGAATGTAAATGACACCAACCTGGTTTGTGTGAATTTGTGTGTTAAAAGAATAAAAAACAAGTTATAGAAGCATCATTGAATACTAGTGGTTTAGATGCTGATCTCGAGGTGATGTACACAGTTGGACCGGCAGCCTGGTTTTTTTATGCTACAATAGAAAACAGTGTACAGATAGTTCTCTTGTTATGAAGCAACTGAAGCTTATTCTGTGAGTAATTCAAAAATGCCCCAGCTGGTGGCAGAATTGAGCTGAATCAGTTGATCCTGAAAAAGAAAACAACGAAAATAGGGATGACAATAAAAAAATATGTAATTTTGATGGAGACTGTGTTAAAAAAAAAAGGCAGGACATTAAACATACCATAAATGTTGCAATTTTGTGTTTAAAAAGGTTACTTTTTAATTAAAATGCTTTAAATCATTTTATTATTATTATTATTTAATAATAATAATAATAATCAAACAAACATATTGCATGTGTTTAAAAAGGCTTGCAGTTTTTAAAATGTGTGAATGTATATTCATATAATATTCTTATAACTCATAATGAAAACAATTTTAAGCAGTCTTTTTTTATGGGGTCGGGGGTTATAGGCTAGGTAAGGAAAAAAAAGGAAAAAATTATTCCCAGAAGAAAGTAGTGACAAAATATTTACTTAGTATTACCAAACAAATTACATGGAATTAATTACATCAATTAGTCAGGATTTAAGCTCAGCTTCAGTTAGTCTTTCAACATTTTTTTTAATGTTGAGAGAATTCAGCTTACAAAGTTATTTGTAAGCACTAATTTTTCAAATAGTTTTAAACATATTAAACTCTAATTTTATACCTCAGTTTGAAAGAAGTCATTATGTCATCTGTTGTATTCCTTCATATTGAACTGATAAAGTACATTGGTTGACATTTGTTCATCTAAAATATTATTTCAGTTGGCTCTTTAATTCAATTTAATTTATGTTTGCACCCTGTGTTTTAATTTATATTCAGTCTCTACTATAATTTCTTGTATTACTTAGCAAATCTATGGGGAAATTAGCACAAAGGAATTTGTTTTTAAAAATCATATTATCATCTTTAATCAGGATGGTGATCGAAAAATAAGCAGAGAGGATTTGAAAAAGGCATGCTTTCAGCTTAACTTGGACTTGGATGATGAACTTTTGGATTCTTTATTTAATTACTGTGATTTGGATAAAGATGGTTTTATAAACTATTTGGAGTTTGTAAATTTTCTTAACTGGAAAGACAAAATGGCTATTCAAGAGTTTGAAGAAAAAATAATAACAAAAGGTATGTGACCAGCATTAAATGACAATTTATATCATTAAATCTGATACCAATACAGTGAACTTAGGTTTCTTGAGTATTTAATAAAGTAAACTGAAGATTTAGAATTTGTAGTAATCAAGAATAACCATTTTTTTCTTTTGGATTAAATTTGAGTCTTTTATGCGGACCTTGCAAAGGATTTATTACTTTTGGTTTTAGACAGTGATGTGAAATGACTGGGCCCAAGTTTGGCACCCCCTGTCTATAGGAACTTTGAACATCCCTTGGGGTGAAGAATGCTCAGAATTCAAGCTGGATAGCTGAAAAACTCTGGAGAAAAAGCTGGAGAAGGCTTTTTAAACCCCTTTCATTCTTTCTCCTGCTCTTCCATTAAATTCAGGTGATTAATGTCCTTCGGCAATAGATGAAAAATAGATTGTTGCTGATAAGAACTATTGCTGATAGTTTAATTTTCCACAATGACTCTGAGAGCTGTGGAGGGCACTTATAATAAAATCAGCACTCTTTTTCTCCTTAATTTTTTATTTCTATTAAAGTAGACCATATCAGAGTAGAGTGTATGTTTTTTCTTGAAATAGGGAGAGGGAAGACAACAGTGGAGTTCCATTCAGCTACTTTGTCATCATTCAAGAAGAAGCCTTGGCTGGTTCTACTTTTCCCTTCATCTAGAAGGAGGGATTCACTGATACTCTAGCGTTCAGAGGGCACCACTACCTCCCTGGCAGTTAGAGGGTATTCCACTACCACCTCAGGAACTGACAAGTAGATAGGTTTGACCTCCATCTTGGCCATGTTTAAAATTGTTCTGAAAATCTGATTCTTTAACCCAAGTGCTGGGTTAATATGGATTTGATTGACTTTTAGTGGTTGCTTTTCTTCTGTGTTTGGATGAATTGTTATTTTATTGTTGGATATCAAATTTATTATACACCCCCTCCCCAAGTCATTATAGAGTTGAGCAGCCTTATAAATTTCTGAAATTATTTAAATAAATCAATAACAAGGCTACTTTTGTATCCGTATATGTGAATATTTTTCTTTTGACATGGTTGAAAGTGGACCCTTATTTTTAAGTGTTCATAACACCACTATTTTTTCTTTTTAAAAAAGTATCTTGTTTATGGCCTTAGATCAGGGGTGTGAAACTGGCGGCCTGGTGGCTGGATGCATCACATGCAGGCCACACCCACCCCACCTCCACAAAGGCAAAAACTATCATGATACATTATGTGATGTCACATGACACAATCGAGTTTGACACCCATGCTTTAGATCTTATTTTAGAGCTTCCTAAAGTTACTATTTTTGTGCTATTTTATAGTTTTATGTCACTCCATAAAAGTAACCTTTAAACTTTTTCTTTTCATTCATTGTTTACAGGGAAAAAAACAGCTCCTTTTGATCTTATTCCAGCATATGATTCAGAAATTAAAGCTAATGAAAATGCTCTGCTAAAGCAGGATGATATTGTACACATGGAACCAGGAAGTTTAGAAAAAACAGCTAGAACACTGTCAAGACCAACTGATCGTGTATTTTCTGATTATCGCACAACGTCTTCTCAATATAATGCCATTGTAGGTGGTATTCCCACATCATGTATGTAAAGCATTTATATATTATTTTACAACCAGGTTATAAATGTTTAAAGCTATCACTAACATATTCATTAATCAATCTCCTAAAGATCTGTTGTTGCTGGCTTGTTTTCTTTAGTTGTTTTGAAAGAGAATATAGAAACTGTATGATAGTTATATCATTTTTTTAAAGGGACATACTTCCTCAAACCAGGTTTGATTCCTCTGATTACATGAATAATTTTGTCTTGCTTTCTTGACAATAACATATAGATGGTTTTTCATTGTCTTCTAAGACATTTTGTTAGTTTTCCATTTTCTAGCCTGGGATTTTCTAATTGTCTGCCTTTCAAATAGCAGTATTTAATTGATCCTGACCCTCAGAAGTCTAACATAACTTAAGGGAGATTTATATGTCTCATCCCTAAAGATTTTTAAAAGAGCAATTGTTAATCTGTTTATTGAAGCATCATGGTTTGTTACTGGGAATGCTGGAGACCCTTCATCACACTGATTTCTTCATCACATCATTCATAATGAAGTTTTGGTCCTATAGTCATCTCCATAAGCCCATTGTAAACTGAGATTGGGGTATTCCTGAAACACATCCTCAGTAAGAAACTCAGTAAGAAACTTTGTAAACAGGTATTGCATGTGTTTATCCTTAAAGTATTTGAGTAAAATATACAAAAATTAGATAGTACTGTAGAGTTAGGTCAAACATTTCAAATGCATATTTTCTGGAAAAAGACAGACTAATAGCATGAGTACAAGTTGGAGTAGGTTGCAAACACAGTCCATGATTCAGGCAAAATTTAAGAACAATGAAAGTTCTGATTTCAGAGGGACATTAAGACTGTAGTCCTACGTTCAGAGCACAGAATCTTTTGACCTCCTCTCTTTGGAGAAGGAGATCCAAAGACCATAATATTTGTTCCACTAGTCATCTATCCTCCCCCTCCATAACCCTCTGAGTCTATCTGTGTCTGACATCTGGAATGGCAGGGATAAAGCAGTAGGAATGATGGGAGAGATTTCAGATCTAAAACCTTCCTAATCATCCACATCACTGCTGACCTAGATCAGCCTTTTGAACTGGTATAAATTACTTTTCTCACAGTGAGAAAATATTTTTAATGAAAAACAAAAATAGGAAGGTCACTGATATTCCTTTTTTCAGAGGCACCTTGACCATATTGGAGGACTCTAAGTAGGCAGTAGTTAGTTTCCAGTTTCTAGTTTCAAGATGTTGTTCCCTCCTACCAAGATCAGTGTATTTTGAAAACTTTGTGTTTTCACTGCTACTTGTTTAGTTATGCCTCTAATTAGAGATATCAGTATTATAAAATTGTGGGCTTGACCCAGTGACTGACACATCACCTCTTTTTATGTTTATAGTGGTTGTGCTTATGTTTTGAAACCACTGACTGCCACTGATATTCCTATTTCTAATTGTAGATAGACATCATATAACAAAATTTTTTAAAGCATACAGAAATAAAAACAAGCTATTATCTTCAATGGGTTTAAAAAAAACCCACCTGATTTGGAAAAGGAGCTTTAAAAAGGATATGCTTGTTTGGTGAATCTAGTTTTGTTATTCCTATCTGTACCATAATGCTTTTCCCCTCTCTTTTTAAAATATGTTTTCACACAGTTTACCCCTTATATGGTATTCCAACCATTCGTTCAGATATTCCGGCTCCTCGTTTTCGTCGTATCAGCGACACCACTAATTATGGGGATCAAGCAACTATGTATGCACTGTTATACCCCTCTATCCATAATAAAAAAGGAGTGTATGAGAAAGACTTCTTCAGGATAAGATCAAAGGAAGAGGTAGATATATATGTTAAAGATACAACATAATTTGTCTTATCAGCTGCTGGAAAATCATAGAAAGTAGGAGACATCTCTGTTAAAAATCTATGATCATTGTCTTGTGTAGTACCAGTCTTGAGTACAACGATTTTAACACAAAAGAGTTCACACTAAAAACAAGTTATCCTCAATTGCAGATTTCATGTATTAAACACAATGCAAACGGAAAAAGAACTATCTGAAAGGTTCTTTTTCAAAAGGAAACTGGACTGTTGTTTTTTTTCTTTGAAGAAGAACTGAATGTTTCACTTCTCATCCAAGAAGCTTCACCAGTTGTGATGGCAGGGGTGGATGAAAGGATAGGTACTGAGGGCTGAGATTGGATGGAGCGGGATCAAAAATGTGGACTTTAAAAGAGGGGTAAAAGAGGTCATTTATATTAACATTGAGCAACCCTCTACAGTCTACAATGCAGCCCTTTCAGCAATTCCAGGAAGATTCCATAACCCATTGTACTCAGATTCAGAGGACCCTGAGAGCAAAGATAAACCCGCAAGTGGCCTAAACAGCTCTTAGGGAGAGTGCTAATGACCAGATGACTGCAAAGAAATACAATCCTTCCATTTTCCCCTCCCCCCACCATCCAGTCAAAACCTATCCTTCCATTCCCCACCATCCAGTCTCAACTGTCAGTACCTATTACTCCATTCCCTCCCCCACAATTCCCCCATCGCAACTGATGAAGCTTCTTGGATAAGAAGTGAGATATTTTGTTCTTCTTCCTCAAGGAAAAAAACTAGTTCAGTTGCCTTTAAAAAAACACCTTTGAGATAACTATGACCTGGATGACAGAAAATCTCCACAAGACAATTGAAGAACTAAAAAAGAAAGATGAATAGGGCCAGGCTTTGCTTCTTCTTATCCTAGATTTTCTTCCTTGGGTTTTTAGCCCTGTAGACCAGGGGTGAAATTCAGCAGGTTCTGACAGTTTCTGGAGAACTGGTAGTGGAAATCTTGAATAGTTTGGAGAACCGGCAAATACCACCTCATCTGGCCCCAGAATGTGATGAGAATGGAGATTTTGCAATATCCTTCCGCTAGTGTGGGGTGGGAATGGAGATTTTGCAGTATCCTTCCTTTGCCATGCCCACCAAGCCACACCCACAGAACAGGTAGTAAAAATTTTTGAATTTCACCCCCGCTGTAAACCAATAGTTTTCAATCTTGGTACATTTAAGATGTGTGGACTTCAACTCCCAAAATTCTCCAGCTCATGGGAAAACATAGTTGGCATGGCTGGCTAGAGAATTCAGGGAGTTGAGATCCACATAGTCTATGACCAGAGAGAAATACATGGATAATTTTGTATATGCATGTGCATATGAAAATTCCAAAGACTAAGAATATTATATATTATTTCACAGATTTCAGACATTTTGCGCAACATTGGTGTGAAACTTTCAGATGAAAGCTTTGATGAAGTATGGAGGCAGGCCTGCCTGAAAGATCATAGAGGAAAAGTTTGTGTAGAATCCATCAGAAATGTACTAGATGAGATGCAGGCATTACACTTGACCAGCTGATAAAGACTTTCTTTTGAATTATGTGATACTTATGGTTTGAATATTTTCTTACTGCAGTGAATTTTCCTGTTATGACATGGTTTTGAGACAGTCTGTGCATATAAAGACATTTATTTATCAAAAAATATTAAATTGAATTTCATTTTATTTTTAAAAAGTATTAAACAGCCAGAAAAAAGAAATGTGTACTATGTATTATGGGACCCAAAACAGTATCAGATACCCATTGTTTAAAAAAATATATACTAGAATATGGTAGAAAATTTGTCAGAATAATCATTAGGCAAAAACTGTTAATTTCAGAACTATTATAAATGTTCTATCTTACTCAACAAATATGCTGCTTTTATGAATGATGTCTGCATATATTCATTGATAGGCCTATACACAAAATCAAATGACATTGGTCATAGTTGTTTCTTTGTTATTAAGTGATGTGAACCTACTGTACAATTTACTAGGCTAGTCATGAATTCTTCTTGCATGAAATTTCTATCTTCTCCTGTGTGTGTGTGTGTGTGTGTGTGTGTGTGTGTGTGTGAAAGTATATATTGAAAGTATATCAGAATAGCCCAATGCATCATTCCATTATAAACAATAAACAGGTTCAAATTACCCTAGTTTATGCACCAAAAATAAGCTATAGTGATGATGAGGTTGAAGAGTTTTTATGATGATGTGGCCCTCCTTCAAGACAAAAATGCCAATACAAAATATTAATGGATAACTTTAATGCAAGAATAGGAAGGACAATACCTGGAAAAAAGTGACTGGCCCAAAAGTGGTGAATGAGATTATAGAGGTGACAGACTAGTAGATTTTGCTGATGATTAGTAACTTTATATCATAAACTCATAAGAAAAAATCTAGCAGAAAATGGACATGGAAGAGTCTATCTATGTATACAAGTGAAACTAACTACATCATGTCAAGTGATAAAACCATATTCTACAATTGAACTGTCATTTATCATTTTAACATTGGAAGTAACCCTAGAATTGTATGAGCTAAAATGAAGATAGATTGTTGAAAAGAGCATATGAAAATGATACTTCACAAAAAACAAAAATAGTAATAAGCTGTTAGAGGAGACCAGCGATTTTTAGATTAATCTATCAAATTACTTTGCTCTACTGCAAGATTTGGAAGAGATGAACATTACAGACCAAAATGAACAAATAATCAAAAACATCCTTGAATCTGCTACCTCTATAGCATTGCTGGAAAAACCTTCATACAATCAAAAACCTCTGATGAAACTAATGTTTTAATGAAAAAACAATAGACAGGAATACCAGAAGTTTCACTAATAAACTGGAGTATGTTGAGCTTGCAAGACCATAAGTAAACGTATCCAAGACGATATGTGTCAGTTTAATGTGAAACTTTTGAAAAAGGAAATTGAAGAAAACAAAAGAGTTAATAGAGCAAAATGCAAGCTTATAAATAAATAAGGTTTTTCAATAAAATGTGAACATGGCTTTGCATATAAAACAAGACAGGAAAAGTTGGAAATAATTGGAAAATTCTATTTAGAGCTATATAATGATCAAGATCACTCAAAAGTAACAGCACCCACAAAAAAGCAAATGTCAAATATCTTAGTGGAGGAAGAATCAAGTGCCATAAAATCAATGAAAAATGACAAAGGTTCAGGAAACTACTGTGTTATAGTTAAAATGCTGAAAGCTGGTGGTCATAGTTTATATAAGATACTAGCAAAACTATACCTGAGATGTGTCAGAGAGAAAAAAGTACCCAATGCATGGAAAAATGCTGAAATGATTCTTATACAGAAGAAAGATGATTTAAAGAACTATCGCCCAATAAGTCTTCTTTCAGTCAACTACAAGGTTTTCACCAAGATAATAACAAAAAGAATATTGAGAACATTAAATAATTAAGAATATTAAGAACATTCAAAGGAGCAGTCAGGATTCAGAAATGATTACAGCACAATGGATCATATCAAGGTTGTTCAGCAAGTCATTGAAAAGCCCAACGAGTACATCATGCCATCTGTGCATGGCTTTCATTGATTATGAAAAGACATTTGACTCAGTACTCCAGCAAGCAATAATTAAGGCATTGCTCAACTAAGACCTAGACATTACTTACATATAACAATAAATATATGAAAAAAACAATGACAACAATTTGCTTTAATGACTTTAAACTGGAAATCAACATAGAATGAAGTGTACAACAAGGTGATCCAATTTCACCTATCCTTTTGTCAGCCTGTCTTGAAGAAATAGTTTGAAAACTAGACAGAGCAAAAGATGGAACAAAAGTCAATGGCGCCTATTTAAATCACTTAAGATTTTCTGATGATGATGTTCTCTTCACACAAGAAATATACAAGAGCTGCACAACAGAGAACTATTTGGCTTAAAAATCAACCTGAAAAAAGAGCACAAAGGAAGAGACAAATAGGAAAGGAGGGAGGGAGGGAGGGAGGAAGGAAATATATAAAGATAAGCCATTCTCAGTGATTATATATTGATATCCCTTCCTGCAACATTTCTGAGTACCAGAATTTGGACAATTCCTAAAACCAATGTACCATATTTAATCATCTAAAGTATTGTGGAGAGATTTTCAGAGGATCTTGCTCCATAGGTAATTTTAATTATGTATATCTGAAATGTCCCAATATAGAATGAAATACTGCCTTCTGGTAACTAATACCAACATTGATAATCATTATAGTATCATCCAAAGGAGTTTTAGATTACCTTTATTAATACCTTTTAAAATATACAATCTTATTACTATTAAGTGATATTATAGTCTGTTTTAAATTTTTATTTTAGTGTACTATTGTATAAGCTGCCTCTCCTCTATTGCATTCCCCCTATCATTAAGTCAGGGTGTTTTCTTAAATTATGTAGGAATCACTCAAGTCTCATGCTATGTAGAATGATATGATAAGGAAAAGAAGAAATCAGAACTTGAGATGTGGCTTTCATTCTGTGTGGAGGGATACATGTAACTCAGAATTTCTGTACTATTTTAGCTGCTTAAATTGAACTATTGTTGAATTAAAACAAGAAGCTCAAAGGATGTATTTAAAAGATTGATATACTAAGCCTATTAGATTTTTCAAAGGGCTGCTATAATTTTGTATAGCAATAGAAAGCTTCCACTTTTGTACTCATGAGGCTATTTGAGTGATTTAGGAACATTTTGTGGCTATTCATAGCTTTCAAGTTTGCAATGTTATCAGAGATTTCTTGTGAAATCAATCTCTCCAGGAACAGGAAAAAGGACTATATTATTCCTCTTGGGTATCATGTTACTGCAAAGTGTATTGATTTAACACCTGCAATATCACTAGTACTTGAGGAAGTATTGTCAGCATCAATAAGAGTAATCTGAAGTCACTGGTAGATTATTTCTCATTAGATGGTCAGATTCATTTGTCCCAGGCTGCTGATATGGCTTCCTTGGTAGCTGCTGGTTTCCATTTTAGTACTTATTGGACTTTGTGCAAACCTTCCTCAAATATACATAACTTGGGCTAGCGGTGGTATTTGGTGTGGTATTTGGTGTGCTTTAATATATGTTGTATGAAGTCTGTGGGCAAATTTTATGCCTTCTCTGAAGACAAATCAACACCTTGCAATATTTCTTCCAGCGTTTAGTGGGTTCCCTGACAGCTCTCTATCCAATTATTCTAGTACAATTTAGTAATTTTTATTTAAGTGATATTTCTATTTTGATTACAGGAGCAACAGATTGTTATGTCTCTTATTCTAATTTGACAATGGCAAAGTCTTAGTAGGAAGCTTTTTGGTTGGATTCAGCTACAGCTCCCTTTGGGTCACCATCATAAATACTGAAATTAGGGCATCTTTCTTGAGTCAATGAAAGATAATTTGAGTCACAGTCAAGACTGCTAATTCTTCCTTCAGAGGTCTCTGTTGAAGATCAGAGAAAACTTCTCCACATGAGTTCTGTTCTTGTTATTGGTTCAGGGAGAATGTGCTGACTGTTTTCCTATGAAATATTTTTACCTGCAGTGCTATGGATGACACAATACCACCAGGCACTAAATACTATTTGCTCCAAACAATTCACACATCGAGCCACTCCATGAAGTAATAATTTGATTCAAAACACAGAGGCCCAGCACTAATATGTTCTCCCCTCCATGTGGCAGCTGAATTGTTTGCAGTAAGACAGATAAATTCTGGTGAAGGAAAGTGTGAAGGAAGCACTTTTTTCATTGTTTCTTTGCATGCCTATTAAAAATAATAGACTTTGTTCAGTTGTTCATCCTCCCAACATTTATGTTTAAGATTGCATTCACACATCATTCATAACATATTCCCATTATTTCAGCAGCATAATTCCAAATCATTTAGGCAGTAACTAAATATAAAGGATGAACAAAATAACTCAAAAGTGTTGATCCTGAATCTAACATATCCTTCCCTTCTTTTCTTAATATTTAAGAATGTTTTGAAGAACCTGTTACATTACAAAAGGCAGATTTGATGCTACTGAGTATTTCAAAATAAACAAATACTTCCTGTCTTGCCATAGGGAATTCATGCTGATATCAATGCAATTAACAGCTTTGGTGCTCTAAGTTTTGAATGACATGCAAAATATGTTCTATTTTGTACATTCAATGACAGGCTTGTAAACTATTTTGTTTTTCTCCTATTCATTTGACCTTGTTGTTTTCTTTCTTTTTTCATCCATTTTTCTAATATAACCACATCTCTTTTCCCTCAATTATATCAATGGTTGTGTCTTAACAAATATTGATAAGAAAGACAAAAAAGTTTTGAGTAGTGGACATTACAGTACCTGGAGAGAACAGAGGAAAAAGAACTAGAGAAAAACAAAATATATAAAGACCTGTAAATATAAACAGAACAATTGTGGCAAAATAGACATCTTGGGCACATCCCAAAACATCTGAAATACCTGAATACCATCAGCATTGATAAAATCACCATTGGCTAAATATAAAAGCCAACTTTAATTGGAACAGTGTGAAGTTTATAGATGATACAACAGACATTTGTCCCATTTGAGATGGTGAGGAGTCTGTATAGGAGGTTGAACAACTGGCCCTGTGCTGCAGCTGAAACAATCTGGAGCAGAACATGCTTAAAACTCTAGAGAAGAGAGTGAGTGGATTTTAGGAGAAGCCCTTCTATACTACCACCTCTTACTGTATTTGATAGCACAGTATCAGAATCCTTAAAATTTTGTGTTCTGTAATCTCCCAAGATTTGAAATGGTCACCTAATATTCAAACCATCATTAAAAAAGCATATCAAAGAATGTTTTTTCTATGTCAACTCAGGAAGTTCAAGCTGCCACAGGAGCGGTTGGTACAGTTTTACAGAGGAAATTTGTCATTTGTACTTCTATAGCTGTCTGGTTTGTTACAGCAACCAAATAGGACAGGTACAGACTCTAATGGATAGTTAGGATTGCAAAAGAAAATTGCAACTAGTCTGCCTTCCTGTATATTACATAGGTTGGAAGGAAGACTGAGAAAATATCTATATACTCCTGACAATTGGATATAAGCTGTTTCAACTCCTCCCTTTAGGATACTGCAATAGTGGATTGCATGTCAAAACTAGACACGGACATAGTTTCTTCCCATGTGCCATCACTCTGCTATACAGTAATTCTCACCTAATGTCTATGCATATTTATCCATGTTGCACAGCTGCAAAATTATTATTATCCTTCTTATCTTCTTTACTACCCCCTTTGTTGGTATTGGTATCAGTATTATGGTTATTATTACTTTGTTTTTTGCATGTACACTGAGAGTTCTGCACCAGAGACAAAATTACTTTTGTGTCTAATCCCACTTGGTCAAATAAAATATTCCATTCCATTCCATGATAGTACACTTAACACCATTAAACAATAATATCTGCCTGTTAGATACTAGCTTCAGTTATAATGGTTTCCACCAAGGTCCTCTGTTCCAGTGGGAACAGAGGTTTAATCTCATTAGTCAAAGGGCTCTATAGCTCCCTATAAAAGGGCTGCTGCCAGACTCAACCTTTGCTGGATTGTACATATTTGTTTTGTTACAATAAAGAGCTGTTGTTGCCTTTAGTCTGAGTGTGCCTTTCCATTACCCAATCTAACACTGATGAGGATGGGATTGGAAGGCAACTATGCGAACCAAAAAGAGCATAGCAATCCAGCAAATAATCCAGCTCAGTGTGGCTTCGAGCAGCCATTTTTGAGCAGCAAGCTCAAAATGCCTTCAGAACACAAAAGGGTCATGCACGCCCTACCAACTCTGT